GAGCCCAAGCCTTGCACCACAAGGCACAGTTGAGGAAACCGAGTCCCCCACGAGAAGGGCAGCTTGGCCACTGCTCACCACAACAGGTAGTAGAAGGGGACCAGGCCTCTCCTCCCGCCGCCTCAGACCGCAGCTCACGCCCTCGGTGTGTAAATGGGGAAACTGAGGCCCAGAGCACAGAGCTGGGCCCTGAAGGGATGGGCAAAGGCTCGGAGGTGGGCAGACCCTCGCGTGGGGGCGGAGCCGAGCGAGGTGCAGGGGAGGGGCGGAGCCTCGCGGCAGGGGCGGGGCCGCCGGGCCTGGAGCTCGGGGAGGAGCGGGCCGGGTGGGGTGCGGGGTGCAGACGTCCCCGGACCCCCCACCCATCTCCGGTTCCTCCCCCCGCCTCAGCCAGCTGCCCTACTCCGCCCGCAGGTCCCAGCGGTCGCAGGAGGCTTTTAAGCACTTAGTGGCAACCGGGTGCGAGGCGAGCGGCTGGCTCTCCAGCCCGCCGGGCCCCGCCCCGCCCCGCACCGCCCGAGGGCCCCTGGGCCGCAACCACCGCCTCTCGCCTCCTCTCTCTCCCCCAGGACCCGCTTCCGGGTTGGGACCACGCGCCTGACTCCTGCCTCAGTTTCTCTCTCGTCTAACAGGGGCAGCGCCTCGGTGGTGTCAAAAATTGACCATGTAAAAAGGCTTGGGGGCGGGGAGACTTGGCAGGTGGGGGGCTCGAGGAAGCGCCATCGATAATAACCCCCCCACACACCTCCCTCCGCCTCTCTGCCCTCCATCAATGCGCCCTTGGGGGCTGGAGCTCCAGGGGGGGCCTGGGTAGGCAAACCTGTGGAAATGACTTTCCTGGATCTCTGCCCCAGACCCAGAGCGGGAGCCAGGCAGCTTTCATGGGGGCCTGCACTCTCACGTGGCAGCTCCTACAGCCCCAAAGTCTGTGTGGCTGAGTCAGAGCTTCTGGGACAGGGCAGCCCCGGGGTCCCCAACACAGTCTGGCGGGCTGAAGAGATGTTTCTTGGGGAAAGAGGAGGCGTGAAGGGGGCTCCTTCCACCCAGGCCTCCCGGCTGTTGTGGGGGCGCTGGGGTCTCACCCCCTGGACTGCCCGAGGCTCAGCTCCTGATCCCATGGAGGCCTGGGCGCGCCCTGATTCTCCCTCTCCACCTGTGCGCCTGGCGAGGCCTCAGTTTCCCCACCTGCGCAGGAGGGCAGGCCTCCAGCTCTGCTCAGTGCCCCCCTCACTGTGTTGTCCACTACGGCCCATCGATCTTCTCCAGGCCTCTCGGCCTCCATTTCCGGATCGATGGTGGTAGGCGGCCCCCGGGGAATCTCCCCGTCTCCGGCCTCACGGTCTCTGCCTCCAGCACCGGGCGGGGAAGGAACTCCAGCGGGGTTCTGCTCCATCCGCCGCAGCGCAGAGGCACAGAGGATCCAGCTGCCTCCTGGATGCCTCCGCGGGGGTGGGGAGGCAGCCTGGACCCCGGGCTCAGCAGCCCCCACAGGGCGTAGACGCCTCCCGCATCCATCCCGCTACCTGCCTCTGTGGCTCCGCCTTCGAGGCCTCCCCTACCCCCAGCCTCGGGGTAAGACACCTGAATTGTTCTTGGGGTCTGGTCTCTGCGCATGCACTGGTTCTGCCACCTGCCCCAGCTCAGCGATCGAGCCCCTTCCCCCGCACAGCAGGCCCTGATGATCATCACCTGGACGCCGTCGCCGCTGGCCAGCCGGCAGCTGCGAGGGGGGACTAAGGGCGGGAGGGGTTCCAGCCCCCCACGGTGTCTGCCCCATGGGCCGTGCCAGCCCAGCTGTGGCCACTTAATTTCCGCTGTGTGTCATCTCCTGGTGATTTATGGCTCCTTGGGGCTCCGACTTCGAACTCACTTTTTATTTGTCTATCACTGGCTGCCTGGCCACGGGAAACCTGAACCGGGGTCCCCAACACCATGCCTTCCTTCCATGGCCCATAGACTCCCCAAATATGGGGGTTTGGAGGCCTCTCAGGCAGGCCTCACTGGTCCTCGGGCCCAGCACTGCACACAGTAGGCGCTCACTAAATGCTTGCCGAGGTCGCCGACACTAGCACGGAAAATGCAATTGTCGTGTTACACTCTTCTAGTCACGCGGCGTCCGCAAAAATACACGCATTCGTTCGAGCATTTAGTGAGCGCCTACTGTGTACCAGGCATGCTCTAGGTCCTGGGGACAGAGCAGGGACCAAGACAGACAGAAAATCCGCGCCCTCGGACAGTCTAGGGGAGGGCACCGACCAGGAACCAGGGAAGCACCGGCCATGCCCGAGGGATGGCGAATAGAAAGCGCACCCGGACTCGAGGGAGGCTGCGAGGGTCGCGTCGCGGGGCGCTAGCGGAAAGCCGAGGGGAGGGCGCGCCGGCAGAGGCACAGCCAGCAGGCCCCGGAGGTGGGGGTGGGAGACCCCTGCAGTCGCAGGGCCCCTGGCTGTGGGGTTGGGAGGGAGAACTGGGGGGGTGTGGGGGCGGGCCCTGGGGCGGCTGCCACTGCGGCCTTTCCTCTGGGGGGAGGGGCGCGGGGGCTTCGGGACCTGTGGCTGTGGTCCCGGTGTGGCCCCCATCGGTCCTGGGGATCAGGACACGGGGCGGGGTTGGGGGGCAAGGACCCAAGGGCGGGGCCCAGGGCGTTTCCTGGACCGGAGCTGCAGACAGGGAGCAGGGGCGTAAAAGTGGCTGCGCTGCGGGGGGTTGTCCCCCCCACACCAAGAGTGCCCTAAACCTGAAGGGCGGAGGGAGGGAGGCGCGGCCCCACAAAAGCAGCGGCAGGGCTGGGGGCGCGCAGGACTCCCCTCCCCGCCTGCGGGACCCTGGCTCACAGCGCGCACCGAGGCGGCAGTAACCGGCCGCGGGAGAGAAGTCACTTTCCCCTGGAACCTCAGGCCGGAAAGGCTCCGGACGAACGGGACCCGCATACCGATGGCCGCATACCAGCAGCGGCCTCCCCGGGGCCTGCAGGTGGCGTGGACGTCTCACTCCGGCTGAGACCCGCTCACCGCTGCCACAGGAGTGAGTGGCCTCTCTGCACGCTGATGGTGGCCCCCGAGGCAGTGACCAGTGGCCGGCAAGGGACAAGGGTGCTTCCACAGAGACCTGGGCTGCAAACGCGTCTCGCGGTACGGGGTACACGTGGTGCCTGTGGCTGTGCAATATGTGTGTGCACGCATGCATGTGGCAGACAACAAGTCCTAGGGGAGACGGTGGGCCAAGCACTGGGTCTCAGTGATGCCCAGAGACTGGCCTCTGCCCTCTGGGGTCTCCCACCCCATGGGGGAGACGGATGAGTAAAGAATCAGAGATTTGACAGTGAGGACTGCGGGGTGAGTGGCTGCTTGGCCAGGGAGGTCACGAGGTGACATTTGACCTAATGTGAAGGGGGTGGGGAGCTGAGCTGAGCAGCGATGGGTGCGCAGGGGCGGGGAAGGGGGGCATGACCAGGGCCAGGGCCCTAAGGCAGGGTCGGAGCTAGTCACGCATTGACCCGTCCACGGTCGCCTTGTATGTTAAAACTGTCTCAAAAATACTAAGTGGTTAGCACACCGCAGTATATAAATGCGCCATATCAACATTACGCCTTCAACTTCCACGACATCCCACGTCCATTATGTCGGTTTGAAACAATGCAGAATAAGTTTGAAGTCCTCGTAATATCTAAAAGGGTGAGACGACCCAGTGTACTGCAGCAGGTGGACGGGCACACAGGGGAAAAGGGAGGAGGTGCTAACACTCACCACGACGTGGGTGGACCTTGGACAAAGAGACGCCAGACACACAAGGCCACGCGGTGTGCGATCCCATTTACATGACACGTCCAGAACAGGCATGCCCACAGACAGGAAGTGGGTTCGTGATTGTCAGGGCCTGGGGAGGGGGGCGAGAGTGACTGCCGTTGGGGATGGGATTTCATTTCGGGGCGATGGAATGTTCTGGAATTAGAGGGATAGTCGCACAACCCTGTGAATGTACTAAAAATCGTGAAATTGTATTTTAAATGGGTGGATGACGTGGTATGTGAATTACATCTCAATAAAAATTTTTAAAAATAACGAAATTAAAGGCAGCTGCCAAGATCCCACGTCACGGTCCCTGCGTTTAATTCTCTCCCTCGGTCTCCATGGCTGGGTGGGTGTGTGGGTGAGGGGGTCGCGGGGCGGCCCCCGCCCTCTGAGCTTCGTGGTCCTCACGGTGGGGCGGGGATCCGCATCTCCCCCCCCGCCTCCCGCCCCGTGGTGCTCTGCACAGGCCTGTATCCTCCACCCCCTGCCACTGGCCAGGGGTGGGCGGGGGACACACAGGAGTCTTTGTGCTGCTGGCTGGCCTCATTAAGAGGCAGGCCCTGTCACTGGGCCCAGCGCGGCGGAATTCATTAGCTGCGAGCCTTCCCTCTTGGCAAAGTGTACCCGGGACTCAGCAGTCCTGGGGGAGGCACCAAGGCCCAAGCGGCCTTGGGGACCCCAGCCCTCCAGCTCCGTGGAGAACCCCGAGGCTCTTCGTACTTCCGTCTGGGGCTAGGCTGGGGTGAAGGCGCCTGACGGATGCAGGCCTTTTGCAAAACAAAGAAGAGATTAAGAAATGACAGACAGAGCCCCGCCCCGGGCTGAGGCAGTTAGGGAAACTGAGTCACACAGCGGCAGAGCTTGTCGATGGAGAATTTGGTTTGGAAGAAACCCATCCCATGCTGGGAGGGACACCGGATGAGCCCCTGCCCTGCATGCGGTGCCGGCCCATCTCTTCCCCCGACCCTCCCAGCAGGCCCGGGGGCGGGGCAGGGGGCTTATTCTCATTTCTCAGGGTTGGGGGGGGTGTGGGGGGGAGACTGAGGCCCATGGGTGGCAAGGATGCAGCCCTCTCATAAAATGCTCGTTCCAGGGCCTGGCCCCAAGACGATGTACAAGACCAAAGACCCAGTCTCAAAGACACTCCTCGAGTTATGGGCTCAGAGCAGGCCTCACGCTAGGGTCGCCGGCCCCAAACAGACACACGGCCGAGGTTTACGCTCATTTTATTATAAAAAAATACAGAATCCAAAGTTGATCGTGATGGGAGCGGGGGAGGCCCTGCCGCCACCCACGCAGACCCCTACAAAAGCCCCCCGCTGGCATGCCCGGGCCGACCCTCGGCAGATCCCCGGCAGCCGAGCACCATATATATTTATATATAATATATATAAAACACAGAGCAGGAAAGGTGGGTAGAAATACGAAATCCGTATAAATGCGCTGTTTGCTTCAATAAAGTGTCTTCGGGAGGGGGCTTCTTTTTTTTTTGGGTGGTGCCCCCATCCCCCATTTCCTTATAAACACTATTAGTCACAGAGTAGAGGGAGGGGCTCCCACAGCCAAACAAGCTTATTGCGAAGCGAGGCTTCTATTCTAAAAAGTCACCCGCCCCGCCCCCCGCCAAAGTAGCCCCCCCACCCATGAAGGGGTGAGAAAAAAGAAACCGTCCAGTCCATCCTCAGGAGTACAGTAAAAATCAGTCACAGTATATACTCGTTGGCTCTATTTACAGAAATGTGACATGTTGGCCTTGGGGATGATCGTGCGAGGCTGGGGAGTCAGGGGGCGCTGTGTTCCGAGGGGGCTGGGACTCTGAGGTGGGCTCCAGGGAGACGGCGGAGGTTTCCACGGTGGGAGCCCGTCACCAGGTGCGAGGCTGGGGCTGGGAGGTGGGCCAGGACACCTGGGAGGCGTCCATAGTGACCTCCAGCCAGGATCCAATAGATTGAGTGACCAGACTAGGGGTCCCCCATCCCCGTCCTCTGGGGACTAGGGACCTCCACCCTATCCATTTTGTTTCCTTCCCAAAATCACTGGCGACAGCGAGGAATAAATTAAATTAAAAATTCAAGTTTTCTGATCCAACCATGAAAAATACTCTAAAAACAAAACAAAACAAAACAAAACACAACATCGCCGACAGGTTCTCAGGGTCTCCTGTGCCCCGGATGAGATGGCCCGGCCGGGGGCTATGCCGACAACAGCCCCTTAGGCGTCCTGTCAGTTGCCTGCCCCCTGCCCCTGGGGCTGGTCCCTGTGCGGGCGGACGGCCCCCTGTGGGCGGGAGCAGCACCAGTCGTGGGAGAGGTGGGCGTCACTATTTGGTCTCGGAGGCAGCTGTCCAGGTGGGGCCGGCATCCTGCAGGCGGGGACTAGGAGCCCAGGAGGGTCCAGAGCACGGGGACCGTGCTGAGGAAGAGCTGGCAGCTGCCCAGGCTGCTGCATGAGTTATTGCTGGTGAAGATAGGCTCAGGGGCCTCGTACAGGGTCTCATCTGGGGGGACACAAAGACAGGACGGTCAGCGGCAGCCCAGACCCCCCCCAGCGGCCCCACCTGCCGCCCGCTGCTTCCTGGAGCGTCTTGGGACCTGGACTTCACCCCCCCACACACCCCTGTCTCAGCCCGCCGTCCCTCGGGGCACGGAGCTCTCTGTCCAGCAGTGCGGAGCGAGGTGAATAGCTGGACCTTACTGAGGTGTGCCTGGCACCCAGGTGACGTCCCCAGGCTGCGGGGCCCCCTCGTCTCCAGCTGTGGCTACCGGGTTCCAGGAGCTCAGAACACAGGCCCTGGTCCCTCCTGGGACACTTCCCCGACGTGGCTCTCTGGGGCAGCGGCCACAGCGGGGGACCCGGCTACGGGCTTTGACCTCCGCTCTTAGCTTAAAATGTCCCGACTGGCAGAGGAGGACCTAGGCTTCGGGGTGGGACCTGCCCCGGCCACCGGTGAGGTTGTGTGACTCCCCGGGCTGTGCTGTGGCCACCCTGCCTCCTCTGGCCACTCAGTGGGTCCCTGGAGAGGACACGAGGATGGGGCCCGGACTCCGCCTGACACCGAGCACTCACTGGTGGGCCGCACGTAAACCTTCAGCCGCAGGCAGGGCCGGTCCACGGCATTGGGCGGCGTAGCAGCTGGAAGAGAAGGGCTGGGGGTGAATGGAGCAGGGGGCTCTGGCGCCCTCAGCCCCTTCCCCGAGGGTGACCGCCCCGTAAAACTCCCACTCATACGTCGAAGCCCGAGGCACAATGACCCGGATCTCCCAGAAGCCCTTCCTCACACTCCCCCTAACCGTCCCTTTACTGAACTCTAACCCCAGGGACGCAGGGTGTCTGTCTGTGTCCAGTTCCATCTCACCCTCGAGCAGCACAGGGTAAGGCCGTAAGGTGAGGAATAAAAATGTTTGTTTTTGATTGATCGGCCAAAAGTCAGTGCAACCAAATGACCCACGTGGGGTCAAATCCCTGCTGTCCAGGTGCCTGTCAGTGAGCCCCCCCTCCCCCAGCTGGACCTCGGTCGGCACACAGTAGGTGCTCTGGGGATGATTATTTCCATCTGGGAAACAGCAGAAGCCAGTTACCCTGGGAGGGAGGCAGGACCCACACTGTAGAGGTCCCACGATCCTGCAAGCACGCTGGGTTTTCACGCCTAAAACGCCACCGTTATTGCTTCTTGCTTCCTAGCCCACATGGCAAGTGCACTGGAGGGGGGCCGGGGGTCGGGGTGCCCGCAGCATCAGCCATGAGTGGGGAGAGAGGGGGTCTCAGGGACCATGACGGGGGTTGGGGGGGATGGCGGCCTGAGGCCTCACGGGGCTGATGGGTGCACATATGTGAACAGGTGTGGGACCCACAGAGCTACAGCCGGGCCTGTCCCTGCCTGTCCTCTCGGCTTGTCCTCTCTGTGGCCACCAACGCCTCCACCCCAAGCCCCTCACTCTGGGAGATGAAGATAAAGAGCACGTAATAAGAATAACATTCGTCACAGAGATAGGAGGAATAATTACAATAATTATCTTTATGAAACTCCTGTCTCGGAAAGAAAATGTAATTTTTCTTATATTACGGGGCTAATTTAAACACCTTCTCCCCTCCTCCACCCCTTTCTTCCCTGAATGAAAAGGAAAAGGTCCAAACAGGGCAGAAAAGAAGGAAATGGGGCCTTGTAGAGTTTAATTGACGGAGCGGGAGCCGGAATGGCGAGGAGCGGGGTCCCTCTCCCAAGCCCAGGCCTGGTGTGTGTGTGTGTGGTGGGGGAGGTGACACGGGGAGGGCTTGGGAGACCCCTGTCCAAGCCAGGACGTGATGGGCAGAACATGGGCTTTGCCCTCGCCCACCAGACTCCGCGTGCCTCGGTTTCCCCTTTCGGTGCACAGGGCGTGGCGGGGGTGGGCAGCCCTGGCCTCCGAGGTCACGTGTGTGATCTCGACCCCACACTGAGCCTGTGTCCCCACCTGCACGATGGGGGCCCTGACAGGGGGTTCCGGGGCTCGCTGGGAGGATGAGAGGGGGCAGGAGGCCGACCGCGCCCCGGGCCCACGGCCCGTGCGTCCACTCACAGATGTAGTAATACTCGTGGCCCGGCCGGAACTCGAAGCCCAGCGAGAAGGGCGTGAAGAGCTGGAACTTCTCGGAGAACTTGAGCGGCCCCCCGGGCGCCGCGGGCCGGTTGCACTCCCAGCGCTTGAAGCCGCGCTGCCGGTGGTCGCAGGAGGCGTGGCCCTCGCCGTTGACCATGTACAGCACGTAGTGCTCCATGCGCTCGGCCGGCGGCAGCGGCGCCCCGTAGTGCGGGCAGTAGATGTCCAGGTAGTCGTTGATGCTCACTTCCACCGTGTAGCCCCCGCCGTCGCCCGCGGCGCCCGCGTGGAACCTGGGGGCGGGGCCAGCGGTCACGGGGCGGAAGAGGGAGGGGCGGGGCCGGGAGGGCGCGTCAGGGGCGTGGTCAGCGCCGAGTGGGAGGCGGCCTTCGCAGGCCGCGGAGCGGACTCTGCCCCCAGAGATGTTCCATGGCGGGAGGTCACGGTCTCCCGCCCGGCACCCGCTGCGCCAGGCCCCAGTGTGGTGGGCACTGGGGAGGACGGGCTGCCACCAGGCATTCTGGGTAACATGCAAAAGAGCAGGTGCCACGTGATTCCGAGACGCCCCTCCGCCCCAGGCCCGACATCTGAGCCCGTCTGTGGCAAACGGGCCCGGCACGAGCTGTCACCCCCACCGGGAAGTCCTCCCCAAACGTTGCTACTGCTTAACTTCTGCGACCCCTCCTCCAGACGGCCCTCCCATCGTGCTCGTCACCTGCGGCCTCCTTAGCTTTCCTTCTGCAGATCCACCTGCCAGGAAGGCCCAGGGCGGCGCGGGGACACCGCCCGGTATTAGGGCCTGTCGGGGGCAAGCTCTGCCCCCACTCCTAGCCTCAGTTTCCCTGCAGGGGACAGGGCCTGGAGTGAAGAACGCCTCAGCCCCTCCCAAGCTCGGCCCAGCTCAGAGGTGCCCCGGGTTGGACGCCCCCAGCCCCACCCCTTCCGTCCTGTGCAGCTGAGTCCCAGCCCAGCAGCTGCCCCCCAAGCGCCTGATCACCCCACCAGGTTCCCCCACCCTCGACACCTCCGCCTCCAGCCCCGCCTCCCAGCTTTTGCCCTGGAGGTCCCCTTAGACTGTCCTATAGAGCCATCCCCTTCCTGGAGGAGCCCTCCCGACCCGGCCTTGTCTTGCTAGGATGGAGGTCAGCTGTGCGAGGGCCGGGCAGCTCCCCTTCCGTCACTGCCTGGGGCTACAGAGCCAGGAGCCCTTAGATCTCCCTGACGTGGCCCCCTGGGTCCCTGTCATGCAAACGCAGCCTGGACCGAGGGGGGACAAGGGGGGCCTCCCGAGAGGGGCTTATTAGCACATAAAAGACCTGAGCAAGCAAGCTTGCAGGGCAGGCTTCCCCCATCTCCTCCCTCCCTGCACAGGCAGGGAAACTGAGGCCCAGCGAGGGTCGCAGCAGGGACGGTGCAGGCCGCTGGGATCCCAGCCCAGCCGCTGCCTCCATGCCCGGCCTGCCAGCCGTCCCGGCCCGCGGGAGGGAGCGCCGCCTGGCCCCCATGCCGGGAGCGCTGATTGGCACAGCGGGCACTTGAGGGGGCGGCCAGATTATCAGATGGCAGAGGCTGGCCCCCCACTGCCCCTGAGATGCTGCATCAGGCGGGGCTGAGGGCTCCTGGGACCCCCGGGCGCTGGAAATGAGGCAGGCAGGAGACCCCTCCTCCCTTGGGCCTCAGTTTCCCCTTCCATTCCCTGGAGTGGTGATTTCGAGTCTGTGGTTGAAGTCGAGCCTCACGGAATTTCAGGTCTGGGAGTGGAGGGAGCAGGCTGTCCCCCAGCTCCGCTGGGTTCATCCAGGGTCGGACAGCTCATCCCACCCCCACAGAAACGGGAGGGTGTGCGTAGACTAAATGTGTCTGGCAGCGAGACTCAGGAAGCGGGGGTCAGGCCGGGACAGGGTCGTGCCGGGACAGGGTCGGGCTGGGACAGGGTCAGCCTGGGACCCCGGCCATCCCTCGGGCTGCCCCCTGGCAGAGGGGGCTTGGGTGTCTCATTGACCGACCGTGTCCTCCAGCCCCTTGGGGCTCGATCGATGCAGAAGCCACTCCAGACTGTTTGAAAAGTCATTTTCAGTCCTTCCCGGCCCCACTGAAAGCCCCATTGATCAACTAACCAATGACGGCTATGGCTGGGTGGCCGTCCAGGGACCAGCCCGCACCCAGGCCAGCCCTGTGGGAGAGACAGTGATGGGGGAACTATGTGCATGGGGGTGGTGCTGGGCTGGAGGTGCTACTGTCCTGACCCCCGACCCTACCAGGTCTCAGTGTCCCCTCTCGTCCCCAGCACGGTGGCTGGGGATGCACATGAGGCTTGGCTCTCTGCAGGGTGGCGCCACGGTGTGACCCTTTCTCCCTGTCCACCTGTGGTTGTGTCCCCCACTACACCCACCTGCCTCCCCCCGCGGCAGACACGACGGTCACGCTCTCCTTCTGGTTCACCTTCCGAGGCCACTTTGCTGGCTCAGAAGGCGGACCCCTGGCCACCAGGCTCCTGGCCTCCCAAATCCAGGGCTCACCTTTCTGAATGTCAGTCAGACTCTGTGATCCACTGGCTCAAAACCGTCCTCATCATGCAGAGTAAAACCCACAGTCCTCCCAGGACCACGAGGCTCCCCCTGACGCCCCCAACCTCATCGCCCTGGACTGCTTCCAGGTCACTCCCTTTTAGCCACACCAGCCTCTCGGCTGTTCCTGTCTGCACCCCAGGGCCTTTGCATATGCCGTTCCTGCTGCCTGGAATGCTCTCCCTCCTCCCACACCTCATCAGGCATCCATCGCGTTTCTACCTCTGCGGCCTGCCGTCCCGGACCATGGGGTTGGCCCCTTCCCCCGTGACCAGCATGGGCCCTGCACACAGTGGCACTCGATACATGTTTTTTGATAGAACAAAAGCCAAGACTTTGAGGTCTCTGAGGTTTTAGGGTCATGGGTAGCAGACAGTGGCCCCCTTCCCCGCCGTGGGGAGGCGAGGACCCCAGCCAGACGTGTCCCAGGGGAAGCCCCCAGCACCCCGAGCTCTGGCCACTTGAGTGTGCCACCTTCTTCTG